TGCGTTTCCACCGTCGGGCCAGAAGCTCCGCTGCGCTTCACTAAAACCCGCCCTTTACATGCCTCTCAGGAACAACGTCACGCAACCCCATAATTTCACCAACAAAGAGAACGTATCAGAAAACGAATAAGAAATAAGTCACTGGAACTAGCGCAATCACAAAACGAACATGATAAAAGCGGCCGTTTGTTTGCATGTTTTGTTGAAGATTTAAATCCACAAGCATCGGATGTTTTACAATAAGTGATACATTGATCATAATGAATTAATTTATCAGGATTGAAAATTAATCACACAGAAATAAAGCGGTATAAACATAGCCTATCTACTTATTCAGTCAAGTCTGCATCGGATCAAGTTATTTCAAACACTCGCTGCTGTCTGAAAGTGAGTTTTGAACTAAAATAATTTTAAAAGTCTTTAATGCTGGTGTTAGCTGTTAACTTTCTGACATGATCCGCGGCGCTGACGCTCTCCAGACGCGAGAAACTCCGCCTTTGTTCACGACCACTCCTCTAGCCCTAGCTGGCCCGCTTTGGCCCAAGGTTTTCGTCGGACCAAAAAACCCGGGCCGTTGGCTCCGAGGAAGCACCGTCGAGGCACGATCAAGCCCCGAAGTGACAGTGGAAACGCGACTGGCCCTGGCACGCACTAGCACGCCTGCTTTTGGCCTAACAGTGGAAATGCGGCTATTACTACCTAATAACAGTCATTATTTATGTTTTCTTTGCGCACTAGAAATATTCTCGTAGCTTCACGAACTTAAGGTTGAACCACTGATGTCAGATGGACTATTTTAACAATGCCCTTACTACCTTTCTGGGCCTTGAATGTGTCAGTTACGTTGCTGTCTATGGAAGGGTCAGAGAGCTCTCGGATTTCATCACAAATATCTTAATTTGTGTTCCGAAGATAAACAAAGGTCTTACAGGTTTGGAACGACATGGGGAGCTAAGACAAGTTGTGGTTGTAATGTCAGTTTGCCTTTGTATATCTACACAAACAGCTGGAAGAGGAGTTAAGAAGTCTTGTGGAAGTTTGGGAAAAGAATCAGGGGACTTCCTTTCTTGTGCAAGGTCAAAGGATCATGGATTGCATCTCCAGCCAGTGGGAGGAGCATCGCTTGCAGAAAGACAAGGAGAAGAATGAACGGGTGAGATTCCCTTGGTGCTTCTCATTTCTTATTCCCTTGGTGCTTCCACATTTCCTTTCGATGCACGGAAAGGAAATGTGGATGGAGCAATTAAAGGAAAGCTTATTTGTACATTGGAATATTCTTGATCACTTTAAAGCATCATCAGCTGCGCTCAATTGATCTGCCCTTATGTTGTTAAAGTTTGTTTTTTTAATACAAAGCCTTGAATATTTAAATCAATTTGAGTATTGAAAAGCACCCATCGAATATCAGATGGTGTAGACACAAAAGAAGTATTTTGTAGTATAGAGTGACCTGGCTGTATCGTACCTTGATACATTTACATACTTTGTTCAGGAATGTTTTTAAAGATTTATTTTACTGAACTGTCTTCCAGATGACAAAGAAAACAGAAACCTCTCAGTTTAAAACTCCGACAAAGAGACCCCTCGGATCAACATATACCACCCCCACCCCTATCAAAATTAAAAAGGTATCTATTTTCTCACTAAGCATGGATGTACAAAAACAAGCCTTTTATCAAAACACGTAATCATCTTCCAATTGTTTCAGATGCCCAATATGTTGGCACCTCGCACTGCCACCGTGAGCAGCGTCAGTAGCTCCAGCAGCAGCAGCAGTGGCGGCTCATCCACCACATTTCTGTGTGTGCCAGGAAGACCTCAACTCTCTGCCAAGGTTAAAACCATCTGCCTGGGGCATTCCAAACTCAATTCAACTCTCTGATCAAAGCTGTTGGTTTGAGATCAGTCCAAAAAGGATTGTGGTTAGACAGAAGTTCAGTGTTAAACTAGAGAAGTTCCCAAAGCTAACACTAGATGACACTGTTGCATCAACAATAATCAGTACTCTGTGTAAAACTGTAGGTCAAGTTCTATCATCTGTACATGTCTTAATTTTAAAGATCAGTGATGTTTCTTAATTTTTGTGTGTGTGTTTTTTTCTTTGGTCTAACAGAGGACCAAGACTACAGAGGCCAGTTCTGGCCCACGTGTGCCGCTGCAGGAGTTCAACAGTGACAAGAAACCGCTTCCAGTGAGCTACTCGGCCTTTACCGTAAGCCCAATCACTCTGCATTAGACCACTTCCCCGGATGTTTATTAACTCCAAATGGAGCATCTGTGATAAGGAGGATGCTCGTTTGTGACCGCTAATTCCCCTGAGAGAGATCATTAACATTTTAAGGCCCACACATAATAATGATTCAGTGTTCAGTTAGTAAAGATGTGTTAACATGTTTTATCTTGGTTTTCCATTACAGAGCGAGCTCTCCAGGAAAGCCAACACTGATGCTTTTCTCAATTCCACCGTTAAAGACATGCTTTGATTGGACTGCCAACATTTGATACTTTTTTATTATTTATTTTTTATGAGGTTTAGGTCACAAATAATAATATCAGGATTGAGACTGTACAGGATACAACTATTCTCAGGTGTTTGTATTATTTACCTTTGACCAATGCAGTGACTTTTCAGAGACATTGTTTTGCTTGTTTTAAAAATCACAATTATATATATTTTTATCTTGCTTTATTTTTTTGTCATTGTTTATTTGCCTAGTCAGATTCTGTATATATTAGCTCATAAAAGGTCAGTCATTCGCTTGTTAATATACAGCACTTTTAATAAAATGCTTTTTATACATTTCAAAGTTGGCTTTTTTTTTTCTTTTCTTTTTTTTTTAAAAGACTGCACCGTTATATAATAAATAAATATCTCTACCCTGAATTACTAGAAATGGTGACTGTGCACTACTGCTCAAAAGTTTGGGCTTTAATTCAGCTAGGATGCATTAAAATTGACCAAAAGGGAGAATAGAGACGTCTATTTCAAATAAATGCTGTTCAATGATGATAAAGACATTTATAATGTTACAAAATATTTATATTTCAAATAAATGCTGTTCTTTTGAACTTTCTATTCATCAAAGAATCTTGTAAATGTATTGCTGTTTCCACAAAATTCAGTACAACTGCTTTCAGCATTGATAATATTGATTATAAATGTTAAGTGAGCATCAAATCAGCATATTAGAATGATTTCTGAAGGATCATGTGACACTGAAGACTGGAGTAATGGCTCGTAAAAAATTTAGCTTTGCCATCACAGAAATACATTTTAAAATGTAATAATATAGAAAACAGCTGTTTTAAATAGGAATAATATTTCACAATAGAACTGTTTTTACTGTATTTTTGATTAAAAAAATGTCTTTGTGGTCATGAGAGTAAAACATTTTTACTGACCCCAAACTTTTGAACAGTAGTGTGTATTATGAGTGAATGTCAAAGCAGTACTTCAGAGATCTTGGCATTATTATTTTTTGTCAAGTTGATTGTCTCTGGCAGAGTATAAAACATCTGTTGTGTGGCCTCATGCTGGAATAGCTGCTTTAAAACTTCACGTTTGAAATCATCTTCACATTTGTTTCGCAAATGGAAAGTAATTTAGATCTTTGATGGTCGAGTTTGAATTTTTGAGTGGCACTCGATGCCTCGACATGTAATTGGCTCATTTGGGCAAAACAATGTAATGGCCTGATCAAGCTAATGCTTTCAAGGCCGTATGAAGCATTACACAATTAAAATATTTCAGTATTTAGCTGTCTCCTAGGAACCTCCATCGAGCTGTCTGGAGCACAATGGAAAGAACAATGGCACTTCAATCAAACAGCAACTTTTATGTAATGGAAGTGCCGAACACATGCGGTACGGAGTAACAATGTAATTTTTATATAGTTTTATGAAACTTTGACAACAGATTTTTTAGATTCATCATCCAGGTACACTGTACATTAAATTACGTTTGATTACAGAGTGATACAATAAAAGTACAAATGTCACACAGTGACAAGCCACTGCTTCTTTTCACAGAAGTCAAAACTGTACATGTACAACAAATACGTTGATTAATAAAGAGGGAGTATTAACTCCTTAGTCTGAAAATGAGCATTTTGAGGTTCAATGGATGCAAGAATAACCGCATGCTTAAATGACAAGCCGTTTGCACCTGTCTGCTAAGCTGTATAGATTTATCATTGTTAGCCTTTACAGCTGAAGCAGAAATGTTCCTCCTAACTTGAAAGATGATAACAACTACACAAATGAGAAGCAGTAAGTTGACATCCCCATACAGCTTGAAAAATGTTCAAGGGGACGAAGAAAGATCTCTTTGAATAAATAGTTTGCCCAGACGTTAAAATTTGCTGAATATTTACTCACCCTCAGGCTACATGCTGAATATGAGTTTTTGTTTCTTCCGAACAAATTTTGAGAAATTTAGCATTACATCACTTGCTCACCAATCTGCAGTGAATGGGTGCCGTCAGAGTCCAAACAGCTGATAAAAACACAATAATCCATAAGTAATCCACACGACCCCAGTCCATCGATTAACATCTTGAAAAGCTGCATGTTTGTAAGAAACAAATCCATCTTTAAAATGTTTTTAACTTCAAACCGTTGCTTCCAGCTTAAACACGTATCAAACTCCGGTCCTGGAGGGCCAGTGTCCTGCAGAACCAGCTCCAAAAAAACATGCCTGGAAGATTCTAGTAATCCCTGAAGACCCTGATTAGCTGCTTCAGGTGTGTTTAATTAGGGTTGGAGATTAACTCTGCAGGACAGTGGTTCGGACCACTTTACACTTCACAATTATCAGCAGTTTGACACTTTTTTACGGCACCCATTCACTGCACAGGATCCATTTGTGAGCAAGTGATGGTCTTCTTGGAAGACCTGAGGGTGAATAAATATTCAGCAATTTTCATTTTTAATTGAACTAATTCTTTTGAAGTGTATTTTCTTTGCCTTCTTTTCCTCTGTTGTGCTTTTCCAAACCTTCCCCATCTCCTTGAACATTCCTGGACATTTTATCTGGCTGCATTCATAATTTTAGGCTGTCTGATAAAATGCCTGCATGCTAACATCATTCTTACATAATGTAGAAGTTCTGCGAAATAGGCCTATAAACTATCTTTGTGATTTGTTGTTTCGCATCAAAAGGAAACTGCAATGAAGTGTCTTGATTTGACACATATTTCCTTATGTAGGCTGTTGTCTGTATGTTCTCCTCAGGCTGCGTTTGTAGGCATTGAACTCTTGGCTATGATGCACCAACAGACTCCTGAGATTCCAGCTCGCATGACAGAAATCGGTTGGAATTGACGCTGTACTTTCGGTTTTGAAGAAATGACAATCTGAAGACAAAGAAACAGAAAACATACTGTTATATTCTGCTTGGTTGGAAAGAAGCAAAGACGCTTTCTTGGAAAAGAAGCAAATGCAGCTCAATGCAAATTTCCTTCTTTTTTATTGCTGTAGGTTTTCTAAGAAAAGGAATGTATACTGTTAATGTCAATGGACAGTGAATGAAAGCAGATGTGAACAGGAAAAAGATAATAGACCAGACACATCTAACATCAGAGCAACAGATTCTTTGAACATATAGAGCCTTTATGGACTGACTTTGGATATGCAATTTCTAAATATCCCTGTTATGTCTTAGAAACATCAAAAGTTATTCTTCAGCTAAGATACACAGGAATCCTTTATGGGTTCAATCCGTCAGTACACTTTTTAGTTGTTCTTAGATTTGTTTTAGCTTTAGAGAAAGTATGGTTTCAAAGGATCTCTCTTTATGGTTTCATAAAAAACTTCAAGCAAACCATGTACGTCAATCAAATGCATTCCTCTGACCAAATTTAGACATCCATTAACATCTAATTAAACCATGTTGAAGAGTTTTTGCACAATTATGGTGCACATCCATTAATCCATTAAGAGTCAAAAAGAAAATGTTCACAATGCTCAGTTCTGTGTTACAGTTGCCATTTATATGACATCTGTGAATAATTATGAATTATAATAAATGTAGTTTTCATCCGAAAACTCCTAATAAGGTGTATTTTTTATGTTTTGCTTATACAGAACACATACTGCTTAACAGTTTTTTAAAATGTTTTTTTTAAGTTTCTTATTTATTTGAATAAAATACAGTAAAACAGTAAAACTGTGATCTGTTATTACAATTTAAATAATCGTTTTCTATTTTTATATATTTTAAATGTAATTTACTCCTGTAATGGCAAAGCTGAATTTTCAGTGTCACATGATCCTTCAGAAATCATTCAAATATTTTCATTTGGTGCTCAAGAAACATTTCTTATTATTATCAATGTTGAAAATAGTTGTGCTGCCTAATATTTTTTGTGTAAACATACATTTTCAGGATTCTTTGATGAATAAAACGTAATAAAAACTGAAATAGACATTTGAAATAGAAATCTTTTGTAACATATAAAAGAAATATATTTCCTGTCACTTTTAATCAATTTAATGTGTCCTTGCTGAATAAAAGTATTAATTTCTTTAAAAAAAAAATTGTAAAGCAACTCAGTTTGAATGGACAAGTTCATTGTCATAGATTAAACTGACCTTTCTAAATTCTTGACTTTAAAGTGCCCCTATTATGGATTTTTGAAAATTACCTTTCATGCAGTGTGTAACACAGCTCTAAATGAATGAAAACATCCCGCAAAGTTTTAAATCTGAAACTGCACCGTGTATAAAGTTATTGTCTCTCAAAAGAAAGAGTCGACTCTGAATCATTTAAACGAGTCGTTTTTAAAACAAATCCCAAGCCGTTTCATGTTGATGTCAACATGAAACATTAGCATATTGCCCGCCAACTTGTTGCGCACGCAGACCTGGGAAAACTTGACTATATTCCATATTAATATCTGATTTATAAAGCCCATGAAGACATCAAAACTAGAAACAGCAGTAAGTGCATTCACATGGACTTTAAAAATTGCTTTTAGTACTCAGACTTCAGCTAAAAGCGAAAAAGGTCATTTCTGGCACTGTTTGCAACTGGGCAAATGTTACATCGTCTTATATTAATGAGCCAAGCTGGCAAGGTTTATTATGTGTCCCTTCCACTTTTCATATTGTTCCTACATCTCTGGTTGAAAGACTGTAGCTGGTGCTTAATGTTAAAAAAGAAACCATCATCATGGAGGAGCAGAATGTGGGGCAGAAACTCTACTTGAAAACTAGCACTTGATCTGCGTTATCTCAGCACTACAGCAGGTTTTGGTGAACCTGAGCTCACTGCAGATCTTCTTAAGATGAAACTTCACACTTTTTGCACATCTACCCAGTCACACATTATCACGCATTTAAGCTGAGCACTACAAAACTCTTCAGCACGGACAGCATGAGTGTCACATCCCGTTTGTCTTGCATGAATAGTGTTCCACAGGGTTCTGTCCTCAGCATGTTGTTCATTTAACCATGATACAGCACAACAACAGCTGTTTGGTGGAGCGAAACAGCTGAAAGAATGTGTTTTAGGTTCAAGTATGCTGGGGGAGTATACTGTAGAGCAGTGTTTCTCAACCCTGGTCCTGGGCGCCCCCCAACACTGCACATTTTGTATGTCTCCCTTATCTGACACACCCATTTCAGGTCCTGGAGTTTATTT